TGTGGGCCAGTGTGGGCCATTGTCTACGTGGAAGGTGTTTTAGGTTCGCTCCATGGTCGTTTTCGTGCCTCGTAAAAAGCATCGACGAAACAATGCACCAAAGACGAGACACAACACTCCTCGTAATCTTTGTAAAGCAAACATGAGACACTAAACGACGCAAAGGGTTATCCATGTGCAGGGTCTTTGAAGCTTAGTAGTATACAGCTTTCTGGTAACGACCAAAGCTTCCTTGGGAATCGTTTCACTGGGAATCGTTTCACCTGTAGAACAATAAAGCTTTCTTGTAGCCTTAATTATGTATGGAGGGAAACGCAAAAACATATTCCTTAATCGTCTTACTGTGGATGGCTCAGCTCGAAAGAAGACACCATAAGACCTCATAAAAGGACCTACATAAAGAATCTGGGCCGGAGAGACAAACGATGACAAACGTTAGATCTCGTTGTGGCCCGTAAACAAAGTAAATCAGTTTGGTCCAGGAAACTCACATCCATTGCAAAGTCATTCGAAGCATCCAAGCATCCTGACAGTCCACATGAAGACTCATGCACTCGTCTTCCCCATCTCCAAAAACCGCCGCGACGGAACCGTCCGCGGGCTCAACCGCCTGCATTCGGGTTGCCGGCAGGGCCGTCCGAGGCGCGAGAAGCTCTGCGGCACCATCGAGGGGACCGCCACCAAGGAGGTGTGCAGCTCCTTCCTGGCGGAAGAATGGAGATCTTTTAAAAATGAAGCGTGTGGAATGGAAAGGCAAATGGAAAAGGCTGGGAATGGGAAACAATATGAAAAAATGGAGTGGAAACGATTTGTGAGCAGTTCTTCTTGTTGATGTCATGATTCCATTCGGAAGGGGTTGTGGATGACTTTTGGAGTCTTTGCATCTCTCACATACTGCTTGAATAACATGAACCCACTTGCTTTTCATGGAATTCTGTGCCATGTTCTAAGGGTATCTTGAAGGGGCTAGCGTCATATGGAAAAGCTGTTTGGTGGGGCCGAAATAAGAAAGTATCGCGGAACATGGCTTGGAAACAGTTCTAATCCATTCTCGGTGTCTTTGCGCAGCCGGGCAAATCTATATACAAATTCTCCAACCAACCGTTTTTCCATTGGTTTCCCAACAATTTGACCCAAAGCCAGGCCCCGCCACCACCCCAGTGACACGTTGTGATGACTGCCCGCCAAGCATCCGGCTGCATGTCTCGCCAATCATGCCTCAGGGACAAGGATGGTCAATCCATGCCAAACGCCAAGGACAGTCGATACCCTACAAGTCCAAAGCCCCAGTAAAAACCTGGTCAGTGACCTCCTTGAGTAGTGCTTTGGTGTGACCAACTCCAGTAAAATCTGGTCTTTGACCAGTATCGAGATTGGATTTGTACTGTACTTTTGGATGATGTTCGACTTGGAGCTACACAAAGTTCATCCTCAAGATGGTCGATTTCGACCATACGGGAAAAAAATCAGCTGGCGCAACGATCAAAACCTGTTTATAGCCACAAACTGATTTTTTCTCAACGTCCCACACAGCCTTAAACATTTTGCGTGGCGGTTGCGAGGACTAAGTCGACTGGAGTGCCCCGGGGTATCATGCTCCGGCATATCATTCAACGCAAGCCAGTGTCAGTGAGAAACACAGGCAAGGCGCAGCAAGTGAACTTGGCGTTTCGCCAATGATCAAAAAGGACTTGATCCACCACAAACCATCCTGAAGCAGCGCGTCACAGGATGGTCCTCTTTCGTTGAACTGTGTTGAATTGTATGGACCCTCTTTTCCGCGCCAGGTCCCGGAGATGAACACTACAAGTAGGGGTTCCGGGTTCCTTCAAAATGATCCCAGGCGGACATGGCGTCGGAAGTATAGCTGGCCCATTTGATGCGCAGAAAAGAAGCACCTTTTGACTTTCTGCATAATGCATGTTGCTGGTGAATGACTCATGGATCAACACATCTTATTCAACCAACCAGTAGTCCAACATGGACATCCCTGGTAGTCCAATCCACCATGACACGGTCCACTTCAAACCCGAGCAAACCGCAAGGCCCGACCACCTCACCTCGGTGTACTGGCCACGCAACCGCCCCAAGGCACACCACTGGCAACCGCACCGAGGTTCCGCGTTCGCAGACCATCGGATCCGCCGAGCATCTGGCACAAACATCACAGCCGATGTGCAAGCACTTTCCGCCTGAAGATGGGGGCGCCCCGAGCATCGAAAGCGAGTGAATGATTGGCGGGCGCATTGAAAGCTTCTGCAGGTTGGAAGAGGTCGGGTGGGAAACGAAAAGATTCATCCGAGTCAAAGGACTCCAAACGCATCCAACGAAGCATATGTTTTCAGCGGAATCTACCAGAAAACCCAGCGCACCCCCCCTGCTTGGGCGTGGAAAATCGAATTATAGAGTACGATTGTCTTGATGAACCGATCCATAAACAGGCTCCCCCCGAAGCTCATCGGCGGCGGTTGAAAGACCAGGTCAAACTTAGCGAAACTTAGTGGCACTGTTTAAACAAAAACAACAACAATTGATATGCAGGTCTCAATACACTGATAGCAAACGGTCCTGGCTCAGTTATATATAGTTCTATTATATCTTTTCTCGAGACTGCCAGTGTTTCTCAACTCAAAAAGTTACTTGGTGCCGTAAAAGTTCTTTTTTCACACCATTATTCTGAGTGGAACTATTTGACAGCTCGTCACTAGACACTCTCCCCATCATCTATGTCAAGCGCTTTAAGCACCACGCTTCCAGCCCCAACCATCACACCCGCGCTTCTGCGCATCCCTCATCGAAGTTTATGTATTCTGACCTTTCCATACCTCTCCCACCTTGACCCCTCCATCAAAAAGCCACAAATTATACCAAAATGTTCCACAGATTGACTACGAAAAGGAAACAGCCGATTCCCAATCCTCTTGTCCCAAAGTATGGTTAATCACCCCCATAACAGCCACCATGTTCCTTCTTTCGAAAGTCTTCCCAATCTGGAAACTAAGAATCTGCCCCAACCTCCAAAATCTTCAGTCCGCTTGAACTTGAACATGGTCGACAAAAACACGACAGAAATCGACGCCTCGTGTTTGGAGGTTTCTCCCTCGTGGCATCGCGGGGGCATCGGACGATCCGCTGTTTTTCTCGGAGGAGGGCGACATGGTGGACGTTGGAACGTCCTCGGCCCACGGCGTGAGAGGCGTGGGAAACTTGCACGGCGATGGAAGGCGGGCTCCCCGTGGCTTGCGCGGTCTCACCGCGCATTTCGGTCGAACTTGTGAGACCACACACGGAACAGCACATGCGATTGAAAAGAGAAGAACCAAATTACATAACAAAGGTGTGGTCATGCAATGGTGAGCGTTGTATGCTAAGTGATGCTAAGTGTTTAATTGACTGCTTCGCATTTTGAGGGTCTGGAACAGCCGGTTGTGGGAAACCTTCACTATCTTCCTGACACAATAAATCCTCTCACAAAACTGGTCCGAGGCCATTGATAAGAAATTGGAGCCGGATATTTGATGTGAGCACGTGCATTTTGTATGATATTACAATACATCGGACGATGATGTGCCAGCACCCACCATGCTTCAGGGCTGCCAGTCACGTGACTGGTGGAGGTCCTTTTTGGTATGATCTCTGAGAGTCTATGGGTCTATAGCATTCCCTTAGCTTGAAAAAACCCTCTCTTTGACCTTATAAAGGTCAACAAAAATCCGAGAGGAAGCAAAGCTCTGGATGCTAATCAATCGGCCTTCGTAGAAGGTCGCAAAAAAATGCGCAAGTATACAGTGCACAACAGCAAGATCTGTAGGTTCAAATCAAGACGAGCTGTGCAAACACTTACCTGGAGCATTCCCAAGAACAACAATAAACAATATTAATATATGATTGAACATCCAATTCTTGCCACCAGAGGCCTGGTTTAGCAAACCGCTACCGCGTTCATTGGTGCCAATTTCTCTCAGTGGGCTGTTCCCAGGTCCGACGGAGCGAACTAGGATCTTCCAGGAGCTCCGGATTGGTCGCCGTTAGCGCCGTTAAGCGCCGGCGCCGCTAGCGAACGCCCCATTGGGCTCAATTCGCTGGGCCGATTCGGCTGCTGCTGCGAGGCTCTGAGAGGTCGAAGGAGACGCAAAGCGACGCCGATCTGTCGAAGAGCTTCTGTTGTTGAATGGTGGATAGATTGGCTGCAGTTGGGATCAGAATGGGCTTCAGGGCTTCAACATGAACAGCAATGCAGCTGCAGCTGTTTGACCCCAAAAACACTGGCCGTTGCTCTGAGGTCAGAAGAAATTCATGCAGAAGCACTGTCCCGATCGAAGCTCTCTAGAACCTGGGCCTCCCAGCCCTTGAGTCACTTGACTTGGAGAACGTGGTTTGCCACTGAAGGACGCTGAGCTCACACGAGTTCCAAAGGAGAAGTCCTGCAACTCGGAAGTGGAATTCCGTGGGCCGAGGCGGAAGTGGACGCTTAAAACGAATGCCGAATGACCGATGGCTGCCATGTAGTGACTGCAGTGTTGGCCGTCCTACGACTTCAATTTGAGAACTGGACTTGGGGGGTTCAGGACACCGGACGGATGTGCAGTCCTCGTTTGGAGCATTGAAGCTCACATAAATCGGAAGGTGAGTGAACGGCCAGGTGGTCTGCTGGAGAGGAACCCACACCCGTCAGATCATCCGTCATCTCGGTCGAACATCGACCACTATCTACAAGGCATATCATCCTTGCCGCCATGCCATGCACTTCGTCTTCACAACTCGCGACAGAACCTTCGGCCGCGGACCGCCACCGGCGACCACGACCGACGGAGCCAGGAAGGAATGGCAAGCTGAGTGCATGGTCCCGCGGGTAGAATGAGATGATTCCAAACACGGAGCTAAAACAAAACATGTTGGATCAACATTGGTTTGGAGGTCAACCACAAATTCAAGACACCTTCCACTGATGTTAAATCACTTGCCAAATGTCGCCCTTTCAGCTGAAATTTGATTCTCTCCAGCTGCCAAAGGTGCCATAAAACAGTTTGATCCGATCACACGCCAAAGTCCGTGCAAGCAAATGACCAATCAAGATGATCAAACAGCTCCGCATTGTGTCACTGCGTTCGAAGCAGGAACCAAGGAAGACATCAACTTTGACTTGCGTTCAGCTTCGAGGCTTCAAAATGCTGGCAGCACCTCCTGCTGAAGGTCAAGCATGTGCACATGTCTGGTTTGAAAAAGAAAACTTGGGATCGATCTTTCGAAGCGAGGATGGACATCTGAACACGATGAGGCCCTGCCGGTTTACCGGCCGAAACCACTGCGGCCCGTTCTCCAGTTCCAGGAAACGGGAGTAAGCCGAACTCGGCTGGACCATGAGAGTTCCCACATTCCTCTCGATACCTCGAACACTGAAAACCCATCTGAGCTGGCAAAGCGCCCAAAAACGCACGCCTTGAATGCCTTGGATCAAACCCGTCGGCGACGTTGTTGAAGGTTGGTCAGAACGTTCGCCGCCTGAATCTCAAATGGGTCGACCTGGTCCTTTCCAGAAGAATTCTGATGTCTGATCTCACCAGAACAAACTGAACCTCTTATCCTAAACTGGCTCGTTTTGGGCTCCACCCAATGGTTCCGGGCCCCCCATCTCTCCCTTTTGTTGGGATCACGTCCATCTCTCCCCACCTTCCACCTACCTTCCACCTTCCACCAAGTCTCTGTGGTCTCATCTTCCAAGCGCAACGATCCAGCCGGGTCGATCGGAAACTCCGCCGCGCCGGGCCTTCCCGTCCCCTTCGGGTCGTCCTCCGAACGCGGCGAGCCGCCGTTCGTGGCCGGAGAACGGCAGGAGAAGCGAGTTGGTCTCCGGTGGAACGGAGCTTTCCGTGTCCATTTGGGACTGCAGTAAGTTGGGTTTTTGTGGGTTTTCATGAGGGTCCATTGTAGGCATCAAGTCCAGTCCCGACTGGCAAAAAGACCAATTCGGGCACATCAGACCCGGACGGCTCCTCGGCGGTGCAGAGAGGGAAACCCGGACGGCGTCCATTTTTCAGTGCCCATGTATGAACATGATGAACATGTGCCAGCAGTCACAAGACGGGGTGCTATCCATGGAGGTTAAGGGTGCCCCTGTCACATCCACTCACTGGATGGGACTAAACACCACCCCTCTGTGACTCCTGGTGGGTGTGTTTTTGAATAGGGAAACCCCCGAAATCTCGCCGTTGGCTGGGTAGATTGGTCTATTTCCCGAACCTTTGAAGGGGTCGTCATGGGGCGTTCCCCCTATTTTCAGACACAGCCAATGTAGTGGAACGCCATTAACATGTGGTCTTTTGATAGCCACACTGTCCTTGTTTTGAAAGGATCGATGATCTATCATCCGAGTTGAGGATGGAGAAATGAATTCCTGCATGATTTGCCAAAGGTTCGAATTGCAGGTCGTCCTTTTGCTGCTTCCACACCAGGAAAACCGTGTTTGAACTGCGGTGGTCAACCGTGAAGTTCGCCACTTGTGGAGAGGGTTGGGGTGCACATGTGGACGATCCCCGCTGTAAGCGAGTCCTTTCCGACGTGGTAGACCTATCCCAAAGGGTTCAAGACGATCGAAATCGGATGTCCTGGACAGGTCAAAAACCCATCTGTCTGGCAGTATTCTCATCCTTCCACCCTCCGAAAAGGAGGTGACCTTTCTTCAGCCTATGAGTGTGCTGGCCAGAAGAACACGCACAGCTCTTTCATGCAGCAAATTGCGTGGATGACACTGCAATTTAGTATAATCAACCTGCATGCTCTACCCTCCCCCCAAATCCTCCCCGTCTCCACCGTTCACTTGAGCATGTGGCAGTGATCCCAGGGACAAGACTACCCAGATATATGATAATATATAATCATTATAGTAATAATCTGGGACCAATGACCAATGATAGCCGACTCCTTTCCGCTCAGTCTATGGGCGACACGATTGTCGTCATCCGCCCTGTATATCCATTGCCATGGCCAACATGGATGACCAAACCATGTAAAAATAGGGGGTCAAGTGAATTCCGCCCTAGTAGCGATGGCCTCCACCCTAGTAGCGATGAGGTTTCCAACCTCTCGATTTCCCTCACCTTCCCTCCATTTCACCCACCAAAAGCCATTCACCTTCCCTCAACCTCCCGGATCCAGGCTCCTCCTCTGCCTCCTCTGGTTCAGGTGAGCTGGCGACCACCTGTGGTGGGTCGGAGCCAAGGGATTGAAAGCCTGGTTCTTTCCGTGTCGGTGGATGAGCTCCGAACGGCCCGGTGGTACGTGGCACCCCCTTGGCACCTGGCACCCACTCCACCATCGAAGAGAAATGGAGGTACGACTGGAGCCGGGAATTTTGATTGGTCCATATCATTGGATATGGAGCTACGGTTCCGGAGCTCAGACCTGAAAGGTAGGAACCAACGAACATTGAAATTGCAATTCCGATGTGCATTAATCAATTCCCATCCATGGCTAGTATCATCTACATCAAAATTAGCCCGACTTTTTCGCACAAATGGCCGCAAATCAGCGCACATGTCAAAACGACCGCACATTAAGCGAAAAACGCACGCATAAAACCAGCAAACGACCACAAAAATCCACAAAACAAACAAAATGCCAATAAAACCAAAACGATCAAATATTTTGGTAGTTGGAAGGTCCAGGAGATATGCACATGGGTATGATTCAATCACTTTGGGAGAACTGCTGTGGTCACACCTTCCCATCTCCTTCCGACCTGAGCGCACCTCGACGCCGCTTCCCTTCGCCCGCTGCGTGAGCTGCCGCGAGCGGAAGTGCGCGGCCAAGTCCAAGCCTCGGGTGCCGACCTGAGCGCTGCGGTCCGCGGTTTGAAGCCGCGGTCAGAAGCGGAGACACGTGTTTCGTTGACTTATTGGCCAAAGCTGGAGTGAGCTTGCGAAAACTCACACCTTGCTGGCTTTTGTTGGAGTGCTGAGGGAATTATCTGGCTGGCAATATTTCTGATGTTTTACAAGGATCTTCCATGGTACCAACCAGTGCCTTTTGGGTCCAGAAAGCATCCAACACTCAAAACTATGAACAATTGTGAATATATCATCATCCCGTCCTAAATTCTAACCATATGCGTGTGACACACCCCATTTGGGAAGTCGATTTGCTTGAAGCAAACTGCTTTGAACTGAGAGACTGCGAATCTGCCCAGGCCGGACACGGCCTGATACAGAATAGTGGTTTGTTTCCTCGAACGCAGCAATCCGAACCAACTCAAAGGACCGAATCGTGCAAAGTGGTAACTTGTCTTCGTCATCGTGAGTCATCCCAGTTATTCCCACCTGGACCCGACTGACCCAGTACCTTAGAAAATGGGACATGACCTCGAAGAAAAACAGGTACGACTGTACCATCTTGTACCCATTTTCCGAGGTACGAACGGGTCGACTCCAGGCAGTTACTTTACAAAGAAACTCACCCGGCGAGGCTTAAGTCAACTTCAACCAGAGCGGCTACTTCTTCCAAGCGCTTCTGGCTCTGTCGGCATGCACGGCAGCGCACCAGTCCGTCTTTCCGGCACCGGCCTGAAGCGAACGTTCAGGACTCCAACCCAATACCCATACACTCCATGTATGCCATATATGCCTACATTGGGGTGGTTTGGGGGGCCAATGTAGGCATATATGGCATACATGGAGCGTCTGGGATAGCGATGGCCTCCACTTCGTTGGCCTCGTGTTTTCGCCACCCTGAAGCCTCTAGGAAGGGAGTGGAGCCTGAGGACGGAGGGGTCTTGGGTCTTCACTGGCCCTTAAGGGTCCAGGGCCTCCGTTTGGCACCAAAGACCTCAGCAAGTACCATCCTCAAGAGGTACCTGGACCCTATGGGATCTTATGATGGGTAGGTTTTGAGGAAGTAGGGGTTGCTTGGAGCGTCTGGGAACCTAAACCCAAACCCACAAAACTTGGGTGGTTGATGGCGATACCCCCGAAGCGATACCCGCGGGACAGCGGGGTACAACGAGAATTCTTCTTTCGTGCCCTCCACTTCGTCCGTCCTCCTTTCGAGTGGGGTATACATGGCACAAACTATAACATGGCACAGGGGGTTCGTGCCTCTCCACGTGAGATGCCTAAAAGTCCCCTTCGGATCCATCATCTTTGGAGTTTTCCAAGCTCCTTGTTGCTCAGAGCCGCTAGCGGCTCAGGCACCCGTTGTTCCACCAAACGAAACAACGCTCCGCTTCGCCCCAACACGAGCGTTCCGTGTTCGCCACCCCATGGATCCCACGGGAAAACCATGTATAATATCAGGAGGGTGCACCATGGAATCCCTTACAATGTAAGGTCAACAGCATGAAAAGGTCAACCATGTATCCTGGAAAGCAATCCCTTACAATCGCAAACCCTAACAATCGCACTGCAGGGCTTTCCCCGAACAGCTCCAGTCAAGTCCAAGGTCATATATACACATCCATGGACTATCTGGGGATATAGCTCTGACTTCGCCCCAAAACTTTCAGGAAACGAATTCAAGCCCAGGGACGCAACTCCTCCATGGCACCATGGTGATGCTCATCTTCGCACTGCTCATGCGCGTGCTTCCCTTGCTTCGCGGGCGCACCTGTAGTGTGGACGTGGACGTCTTTGAATATAGAGATCCCCCAACCAATGGGTTTTAGATGGCTTGGATGGAGCTTCTTGATCGTCAAAGGGTTGTGTGTTGGAGCTTCTATTTCAACACACACTCAACGGCCCCTTTTGGTGGTACGTATACACCTTCAAAATGGCACGAATTCTCCCGTATTACCACCTGTTGATGCATTGTCTTCTTCATGCATCGTGCATCGTCCCGGTTCTACCGCCTTGTAGCTGGGAACCAGGACTCTTCAAAGGATCAGAAAGGATCGACGAACAAGGACGATTCGACTCGACGGCACTGGACCGGAGGTGGTTTCACCAACCGAGATGAGGGGGCATCGCGAGGAGGTTCGGCGCCATCGGAGGTACGAACCAAGTCGTCAACGAGGGCGAAGCCGAGTCGTGGAAGCCGAAGCCGGCTTCCCATCCATCCGAACCGCATGACAAGAGCTGAAATTTGTGAATGACTGGAATGACTTGGAACTTGGAATAACGTCTTTGAGACTCCAGGTATGATTGATGGGCTAAAAAAATCATTGGAGCCAACAAGGCCTCACTCTTAAGGCCTCACCCACGTGTCAAGTGTGTTCGCTCCACCTTCTTCAACTGGTGCTGCTGCAGATCGCTTCTGCTTCGTCATGGCAGGGTTGTAAACTGACCGAATGGCGACGTTGCTTTTCTCAAGTAAATTTCAACCAACTTTGTACCTGGTTCTTGCTTGTAGGAGTCACTCGTCCTTCGCGCGTGAGGGAAGGCGTGTGAGTGATCTTGCCATGCATAAGTTTCACTATTCCGAATTATTGGATGTAAGTTGTAAACTTCCTCGCTGTGTCATGAAGTAAAGTAGACCATGTGCAAATGCACAGCGTTTGGCTAACCCCAAGCCAAATGCTGCATTTGTCAATCTTGTATCGTACCTGTCTGACCTTGCAAAGCCTCAGGGTTCACTGATGAGCACCTGGACTCTCCCAAGTTCCAAAACCATGGGCACTAACTATATCTACTTTTTCACAGAGGCATCTTCGATTTTCCAGGCCAGTTCTCCACGAAAAAGCGTGTTTTCTGCAGGGGGCTGACCAGATTGGACTGAAAAACATGGGAAGAGCTACCCTCCTTCAGTGCCCGGCAACATCACTCAAGCTAAATTGGAATCTCCGTGTAATATACTATAGTTTGCATAATTATATATCTTCTCTAAGTAGTATATAGGAAAGCCTTGGAACAAACATCAATCCAATTTCATCACCATCTATCCAACAAGCACGGTTGCGTGTGACATATTGGCCACTGGAAGACGGCTGGAACCTTTTCCACCCAACCAGTCTTCACGTTGGATGGACGTGTCTTCACGTTGGATGTGTACAGGCCGGCCCAAGGTCTATCACCCAATGTGGAGACCACCTTGATCTGGAAGAGGAACCCCAAGACGAAAAACATGTCTGTTGCCCCGGAAGCATAAGTGAAGAAAGGAACAAAGAAACATCACTAATTTATTGTTTATTACTATTGTATGCTATTGTACGAGGAGGGTTTTGGGTACTCCAGAAGATGCATCTTAATTTTGAACAAATTAGCTGGGATGGCTTTCTTGTAAAGGCGACATCAGAAAGTACGCAGTCCAAAACGGTTTGGGCATGTTTGGGCCATGTGACGGCCATGTTAGGCCATCGAAGGCGGGTGACGTCAAGATCACCCTCTCTCCCGGTCGTCCCGGTGGTGCATGTTTGGTCCATTTCGAGCCCCTGAAATCATCGATGGAAGTGATGGCAGGGCCCATGAAATCCTCTATATACAAACTCAGGGCCCTACCATGTATTCTTGTAGAGGAGGTAAATACCTCTAGAATACCTATTCTTGGAGTCATGTAGACTCTTGATTGTTCAACCCTCCAGGCCATGTCTGGAGGCGGGCCTGAAGAGGTGTTACAATCCATGGACATGGAGGAGTTTCAAGAGTCTAGAGTCTAGATTCAGCTTGCCAAAGAAAACATTGTAACATCTCAGCTACAAACAACACCGGGTGCCCCAATCCGAGTTACAAGTGGACTGCGAACGTCAAGTCATCTGCCGTTGCCCAAGGTGCTATTCTAAAGCGAGGTGCCCTGCGGATTCGAAAGCCTTCACATCCATCATCCATCCTCAAAACATATACTGTCACCTTTCACAAAGGGGTGGTGTTTGGTCCCTAAGTGAGTGGCTAATGGGCACCCCTAACCTCCAATAGGCACCCCTTTGTGACTCCTGGCTGTCACCTTTCCTCTTTCAATCTAAACTTGCAACATCTTGCAACAGTGGGCTTACTCTGAGTTGGCTGTCAACCCTAACACGGTGCCCACCGCCTCTGGATGAGCGGAACAAGTGGCCTCCACCGCCTCCGCAGGCGTCCGCACGCGTCCGAGGCCGAATTCACGAAGGGACGACGTCGAATTCGCTGGCAGCGAAGGGAGTTCCGTGGTGTTCCGTGGTGTGAAGGAACTGGAGCTTGGCTTCGAGATCCTCAAGCTTGCGTGGGCGTGTCGTTTATGACCCGGGCTGCCGTATCAAGAATATCCCGAAAAGCTTGAAGAATGATTTGTGCCTGCAGATTCTGCAGCACCTTGTTTTGCCGCATGAACATCATTAATCTGGGTGCTTTCACTCCCAAACCATGTAGGGTCCAACATCATACACCATTGATCAACCCCGGACATTCCCAAACCCAGGACTTGGAACCATAGGACCCAACTCCCATGTCTTCCGTTCTTTTTTCCCTTTCAACGCTGTCCCGGTGAGATCCCGGCGTTTGTTCTTCCTCGTCTCCACCATTGCCTCCATGAAGGCAAATGGACTGTTGAAGCGTTCAGCCACCACCTTGGCAATCTCCTCCCGCTGAGGCCGCGTGTCTTTTTCGTGGTAGTTCCACGTGGAACCCGCGTGGTTGGTGTGGTTAACTGGGGATGGGAATGGGAATTTGTTGTGTTGGCACCAAAAAGGCAGGTGCGCGGCGCAGCGCCACGGTGTGTCATGGGGAATTTTTTAAAACATCTCTAATCTTCGTCCGTACATGAGGTGAAACCAGGATACTACCGGGATATGTACTATATAGCAGGACTCGATCAGCTTCTGCGAGGAGATTCTTTTGCCTGAAAGGTTTCACTTCAGAAGATTTATCAAAGGGTCACTTAGCAGAATTTGGCTTTCCGCATCGCGGGATCGCAATATACGCCTTTCTGGATGAATGCTACATCATTGCACATCTTTGGGCTGGCATGTTCGTGCCCCTGCTAGTGACAGTGCAGCATCTCATGCCTGACCCGCGGCCAAAGGTCCTCTGACATCCCTTGCACTTGCATCAGTTGCGACACCCAAGTTGTTGCGAGCCTCCGATCAAGGTCAGGCTGGGACCTGTGTCCCACATGAAGCAGTTCCCTCAGCCAACTCTGCCTCCAATGAATGAGTAGCTTCTTGTAGAAGGGCCCCCATGTGTTCAAAGATATCCAAACGACGTTAGGAGCAGCACATGATACCAAGCTAGCTTCTTGCACAATAATTAGTCTACCAACTACTGTAAATTGTCTGATGTGTCTCCGGTGGGTGGAAATATGTAGAAATGTACACACAAATCATGAACCACAGGCTCCAGCAATGGAGTCCCGACTTGGTTCCCACGGCTTCATCGTTGTGGGATGAGTGACACTCATCCCAAGCCAGCCGTGACACACAACTTAGTAGGTGAGCAACAGAAAAGCATACACATACCATGCCCAAACCATCGAAAGCACAATGCAAAACTATATGTTTTTGCCTACATCGAAAGCGTGTTTCCGCCCCCCACAGTGCTCTGAAACTTAGTACATCTTACTTGCAATTGCTTACGTACCTTCATCACACATATCATACCAGGAGCCTCCTGTCGGGGTGTCCTGGCTGAACTACCCCACACTACCGGCCTAGGCTTTTAGACAGGGCACCCTGGAAGGAGGGTCCAAGTATATCACATGACTTACTCAGCACCTTCATCCATCACATCACACCGACTGTCCACAGTCCCCCACATCAGCCACACTGACGCCGAGATCATACGTTCACACCACCAGCCACACTTCGAGGCCCAACATGTTTTTGTTGCTTTTCCTACAGCGTGGCTTCAAGGGACAAAGCAAGTTGAACTGCATGTTTCTCTGCAAATGAGCGGCTTCTTGGGGAGATGATGACATCTCTATCCTTTTCAGCAACAACCGGAACCGGTTTGCACGGTCAATTCCTGAACCGGAAAGAACCGGCTTTGCGAAGGTTTACGTGAGTCACTTCACCTCGCCTGTCTGACGGATCTTTTGGCAAAGTTTGGCACTTGGCCCCTGCCACCTCGGTAACGGTGAGGTGAGGCAGGTCTGCAGGCGAGGAAACGACCGCGAGGAAACGACGCGGGTGAAGAGTGCATCGACATCGATGGCTTCCTACATCAACCTGCTGATCCGAGCTTCCTAGGCCTGATCCGGTCTAGAGACCTACAACAAGTGCAGGGTGGTCGTTTCGCCAGGCGATCCGACAGGAAGGAGCTGGTACACTATACACGATATGAGTCCATTTGACGTTCCCACATCCGCACAAGACCTGCAAAAGCACAAGTCCACGGCCTGTGAAACCCTTCATCAATCCCTAGTCTCACACATCAAAAGAAGGTGGCACTCAATGCGGGTTAGATTCAAACATTGTCTAACAACCAGATCCGATCCTCTTATTTTGTGGCATGGTCATTTTCAGCAAGGAGCGTCAAATAAACAGGAGACCACCCAAGCATCCGAATCCTTGTTGTTCCGAGGTGGTATCACCTTGCTTGTGACTCTGGTGTTCTTTAGTTTTGTGTGGTACGGGCTTTTCATCAACTGGGCACCACAGACTGGTTGACTCTAACCCATCTCTACCCGAAACCAACGAAAGAACATCAAGAAAACATGTGCCAATGACCCCAAGTCCTATATCCCACGGGTTTTGGTCTATCTTCCTTCTAGACATGGCCCAGTGGCCCAGAAATCCTCCCAGTCATACCCACCCTGATCATTCAAAGACGCCTTAAACCGCGAGGGCAGCGCACGTCCACGGCTCTTGGCCACACTCTCCGCGCACTGCACCGCGTAGGCCGCGGCCAGTGGGGCTGATCCTCATCGCAAGCCGCGCTTTGTTTTGGGCATCCGAGACCGGCATTCCTTCCAAACGAAAATTTATAAACACGCCAGTGACTTGACGGACTTAAGTAAGTACACAATCTTCACTTCAGTGTCATCCAATTTCAAGTCCTTTAAAACGCCTAGAGATATGGGAACGTTGTGGTCTTGCTCCGTAGCTGGTTGCAATAGTTTCGGAGCGTATCAAAACGAAAGAAGTCTTTTGGATACGGAGGTGGTGTTAACCCATTGCACACCATCAAAAACCCGTTGATAGGATCAAACAGTTGCTTCAGGCTTGCAGTAAAATGGTGGTTCAGCTTTTCAATAACGTGATTCCTTGAGACTGCACATGGATCCAAATGGAGCATCTAGTACACTATGGGCGGTTACCCAAAAAAAATGGTCACTTCCCACCTCATGTGACGTTGGTTCCTCATCCGATCTGCCCAGTCTCGAACTTCCACAAAGTCCATCTGCAAGGTCAATAAGGCCTGGCCAGCTCGAATTCGCCGGCGAAGCACGGTGAATCGTAAGAAAGGTGCATGGCCAGGAGTCACCAAAGGGTGGTGTTTAGTCTCTAAGTGACTGGACAGCGGGCACCCCTAACCTCCATGGATAGCACCCCTTGGAAGAGAAATCGAGGTGGCAACACCAGGTCTTCGTCAAATGTGTTGCACGCTGAGCATCGTCCCCTTGCTGTTGAAATAACACTTCCCTAACCTCGCACAACTTGCTGCTTGCTACACGGTCACCTCGGACGGCAGTCGTGGGATCCGAGGAGGCACACGCCTCAGTGAGGCACTCAGCAGCATCCACACGTAAGGAGGCCTGTTTGGGACCGATGAGCACCAAAAGCAGCCGGGCCTCAGCAGTCGCACCAATCCATCGGATGGTCCACCGGGAGAACCCTAGATGACCTGAAGAGTCGCCGAGTGACGTCTTCACATCTTTCGTGCCAACTGGTGACCTACATCGTTGTCATGTTGGAAGACCATTTAGATATCACAACCATCCTCGCTTGTGCGAGTATTGGGAACCATTGCGCAAAAGAAACCCCCAAACGCGGGAATGAGGGCAAAAACAGGTGGTCTGAACTGCTCGTCGATGGCGATTTGGAAACTCCAAACCAGTCCCATCCAATCGACCGACCGTTTTGGCTTAGGACCGACCCGTCAGTTTCCTACGGCGATCAAAATTCCGCCATGGCGTTCAATCAAGATTCCCACTTGGTGGGTTCCTCGTTGGATGAAGAGTTGATTGAAGGTGCAAACCCAACGACCGTTCGTGTTGCCCCTCCAGTTTTTGTGTCGGAACTTCGCAGGGAACTCTTCATATAATTCTTCTGGTTACACCTTCAAGCTCTGCGTCGGACCGATTCTATGGCGCAATGGGAACACCTGCCGTCGTCGCTTCAAAACTGCCCCCCAAGCAGCCAGCTTTTCATTGAAGATGCCGTTGATTTTCAAACATTGGGATAGATGGAACCTGATGTGAGGCCTCAGTTCGGGATATAGTTTAACTGTGGTCACTTGAAGTCACTTGGAGGAAGGTCACTGTAAAACAAACTTGGCTGGTTGGCTTCCAAAAGTTCTACCGCTCAGGGCGCCAAGAGACTCCTGGGCACTCAGCTGCTTTGGATGGCCACCTAGGCATTGGAAAAGCGAAGAAATGGATAACACCGGCTCAGCCGATGAACACATGTGCGGCGGCATTTATTTGGTGCTAAACTCAAATACACTATCTATTATGTGGGGGCCCTACCTCGTTTAGACTACTTAAGTGGGAGGTCAGGTCACAGTATCTCGTTCAGACTACTTTAGTAGCAGATCACACTATCTCGTTCAGACTACTTTGTGTCATCAAGCAAAAGTATCTCGTCTATGTGGGGGCCCTATCTCGTTCACAAGTGAATACTGACAATAGACAAGCAAATAGAGCATGCCATAGACTACTTGACTACTTTAGTAAAGCCTAAATAAAAGTGGTTGCTCACATGAAGAAACACCAGCAGTCAGCTCCTGAGTTGAGCAACCAGAATTGAACAACTTCAGACCTAGCACCCAATTCATCCCCATTCTTCTTCTACTTGCGCAAAGTCATCACACCGGACACTTCAACAAAAACATTTGTTTTATACATGCCATGTGTTGTACCTTTCAAATGGCTGGAGGTTTGTGATACAAAAGCCCCGCAAAAACCACGCTCAGGTTGATTTCATGGTGGAGGACATCGCTATCGCCCTGGGATCAGGTGAAATGGTCCGTGTCACGGTGCCACTGGTTTTTGCATCAGCCAGCTGCAGGTCATCACTTCATCACTTCCCACACACCTAGATTGTCTACCGTGCAAACATGTGCAAACCAACAGGTCTCACAAACCAGAAAATCAGGTTGATTACTGATCACGTTGATCATCCTGTCGCTATGATGTCCCACCAAGGATGGCCCAATGGCCGATGGCACTTTCTCGGCCGAGGGCCGGAGCAACTCGGCCGTGACACGTTGCCGGAAGGTAAGTCCATTTGTGTCTCCCAAGAATCGGTTGGCTATTGTCTCTGGGCAACATGGCCATTCGGACAGACTACAAACTGTAAATTAATGACACACACACACACACACCGTATATACCTCTTCTAAATCAAAATCGTTCCCCATGATCTTCATCCCCTCACCATCAGTCCAGCCATCCATCCAGCCATCCAGCTCGGCGTTCTCGAAATTGGTCCTCCCCTCCCCTGCAGCGCCCACTCCAACCACACCTTCGAACCCGACCGTTCCCCTCCGTTCCCCTCGCCATGCTGTTCCTCGTTCGATCACCCGAGGACCAACTCGCCGTGTCCCCACCCGACCAACCCATCGCGCTCCACGGCACCAGGCGCTCAGCGCCTCCACCGCCGACGTCGCCTGCGTCGCCTCCGCGAAGCACAGCGCCGCGGCGCAGCGCGTGCCCAGCGGGGCGAAGGGGTCCTGCAGCGCCCGGAGTACGGGGGGGCCCGGCCGGAGGGACTGAAGCACCTGGAACTTGCCACAAAAGCAGGAAGAAAACCAAAGGAGTATAAGGAGTGCTTTGTAGATTGATTTTGATCTGGTACTTGGTGAGTGCACCCAGATATGAGGATCCAATCATTTCTCGACCATTGCTGACAATCTATTTGCAGCTTCAAAAACATGGATTTGGCCCAGTTACCAACCTGCCCCATGAATTTGGAGAAGGTGAATGTAATGCTTTTGTTTGCTTGTTTTATCAGTGGGTGAGATAACTTCATAATATTTTTCCCGGCTGTATCATCAAAATTGGTCTATCGGATGGTCTGCATGGCACTCCAATTGCTGTAGAAGGATGTAGAATCCACCCATCCCCACTATCCGACTCCACATATGTCTTGTTCTTTCTTTTTTCCGGTTTCCTTGGCGCTAGCAACTGTCCACTGGCTGACGTAGTTGAAGTCCGCTTGCACTAAAGCCTCAGGGTCCAAAGATGTCCAAACAGCTAAATGTAATGGTCGAGATGGAGCAAACCACTCCTTGTGACATACTTTTCCTTCAACGGGAGGCTTGGTCCGATGTGTTGCTTTGTTTTTTTTTCTCTCTCTCTCTCTCTCTCTCTCACCCTCTGAGACACACCTTCCACACACCTTCCTTCAGCAAACAAACTAATCTGCCAGGAGTCACAAAGGGGTGGTTTGTAGTCCCCAAGTGAGTGGATAATGGGCACCCCTAACCTCCACTAAGCACCCCTTTGTGACTGCAGGTGGTTCAAGTTCCTTGTCATCCCCTGTCCATGCCCGAAACATCAACAACATCTCTACCATAAAGTGCACCACTTTGCGACGAACAACGGATCCATCATGATCCATCCACTCGAGCTTGGGGATCTGAAGTCAAACATCTCAGGAAAGAACATTGTCAAACACGTGCTCGACTGCAATCCGGAGAACTGATCTTTCAAGCAATAAGATGAGATGCACGATATCAACCGACTACAGGGTTTTGTGCATCACAGCATGTTAAGCCTAACGTTAGATACACCAAGGTTTCGATGGTTTGGATATGTTTGGTTCATGTTGGGCTTAGCCTCCAGCAGTTCCTAGCCTGCAGGAAAACCATCAGCCATCCAAACAAACCCACGAACAAGTGTGGAACTTGGCTTGTAAACATATTGGGTGCGGACTGTCTCCAATTCGGTTTGAACAGCATTCGGTACCTAGACCGGCTACTTCAAAAATCTAGGAGGCAGCTTTTGCAGCAACTGCAGCAACAGCAGCTCAAGAGAGCCCTGGGCGACCCCAAAATCCCAGTGGACCACGGGCAAGGCTCACGTCAAAGCACCAAGAAGCCCATGGCAACGGCGCTGCAGAGCTCTCCAACTCTTCCACAGTGACGCGACCTGCGACGCCCAAAATAAGCTGCGACGCCCAACATCGTTTAGAGCTCAAAGGGGGTCAGGCCGTCGTTTCATGAGTGCCTTTGGAGGATGTCTGGCACGTCCAATATGTCGTTTCATCCCCCACCCAAACAATGAATTGCACTAAGCTGCGCTCTCCTCCTTCTATAATCATGTAGACGCGGACTGTTCTTCTTCTACGTGAAATAATGAGCTTTGGAACTGAAACCACCTGTCGTTGGAATATATGAAATTAATAGCCTACAGGTGGTACGAGCAGAACGTACTTGCCCTGACTTGTACCAATTTTCCCAGATACGTGTGTCCCACTCTGGCTGACCCGATGTCAAAATAACCGATTCCTCTATTTGCGGGATGTCAAAAAACTGGGGGAGGTTTGGATTCCTCCTCCCGCAGCTTCGCCGTCTTTGGTCTTCCTCGCCTTCAGCCGCCTCCCGCAGCGCGGTGCTCAGTGGAGCTTTGAGCTGCAGCTCCGGGGAGATGTGAAGGGTCACGGCGGCCGTGGCCATCGGAGCTTCTCTTAAAGATGTGAAGAGGCTGCAGAGTGTCTTCTTTACAGCTGAATTTCCAGGAGCCATTGGTGTTCTTTGTACAGAAAGCTTTTGTTTGAGGTAAACCAATTCCTAAGAGGAATCATTATATATGTGTATATCCAAGCAGCAACCTCCGCGAGTTTGATGACTGCTCATTCTACGTCAGCAAAACTACTCCAACATAAATCATCATTGAAACCACGAACACCAAGTACAAATCACCATGTGCGGTCCACTATCATAATCGTTGATTCTTTCCTCTTAGCTGCCATCTACAGAGGGTTTATGACAATGTTTCAGTAATCCAAGGGGTTTGCCTATGTTTACAGTACTTTACAGTATTTCTAGATCAGTCACTTTGTTTCGACTCATCAACTTCTTACGAGGATCATTCACCTCACTTCGATTTCTCACTTCGATCAACACCTGACAGAGGGCTCGACACCCAACTGCGAGCCGCATCAACGACAAAGGAATCTCACAACTCAAAGGGTCGTGAAAAAGATCATGCGGACCTGCATCTTCCAAGAGCGTCCTTTTTCAGTCCCCGCCGCAAATGCTAGTTCCAGGGACAATTGTCCTTTCTGTTGAAAACAGTGTCCTTTCTGTTGAAAACCCATGCACTTTCTCAGACAAATGATATCTTTTCTTTAGGTATAAGACTATTGGAAAAGGTGAAGGGGTCAATTTCTCCACCTCCCTTCCATTGCAAAAGCAAATATTCTTCTGGGCGGATGGGTCTGTTAGAGAATGCGGGAAGTTCTTCTGCCAAGGTGCATGGCAGGATGTACATAGTCCTTCCATCGTTGTTTTGGGTGGATCTGACGTCACTTCTTGGCTGTTCCTAATTTTGCAAGCCGCTGTCTCTTTGTAAGTCGTCTCAACACTGAAAACCGACCTCATTCCCCATCCTTGCAACCGCTCCGGAAATAGTTTACACATATTCCGTATTCCCACAAATCTGTGGCACCCAAACCAAGGGGGACCACCGACCACCAGGGAAAAGGGTGAATCAACACAACCTGTATGTTCCCTTCATCCCACAGTTCTTGGCCATCGAAAGAGCATTCACAAAGCAGCATCGCACATCAAAGGGAGAGAAAGAAAGAGAGAGAGAGAGAGAGAGGGAGGGGGGAGGAACAGCAGAGAAATCCATCTTCTTGTGGATTCTTTTGGGTGTTTACATCTGACTTTCGCCATGGCCAAACAAAGCGAAATCTTATTCATGTCCCCACCACTACCATTGGGGTTTCTCCCCAAAGATCCATCTGAATCGGTGTCTTCCCATCATTGCAGGACATCATCGGTGCGTCCGGCCTGAGCTGGCCTCGCTCACTCTCCTCATTAGCGATGGCCTCCAACCGACCAGAGCTCCGCATGTTTTGTCCGACCAGAGCTCCGCCATCCTCACTCATCAGACCTGACGCACCGGAGACCTGACGTCACCGGTCCCAATGAGGTGGTGAGGCCATGGGTACACGAAAACGGGCGTGTTCAGAACACCAGCAGAAAATGACGCTGTCTGTGCTCCGACAGTCCCTTTAGTAAACAAACTTTCATACAACATGAGACCTGAAGATTGTACAAACCCACCAATTGGTGATGTTGAACTACTTTGTTGCAAGGTTTCGATGAAGCATGATCTTGTCTATGTTTCGAAGGCCCCGCATCTTCTTGCTATTTCCTTTCAAGGTATTTCTCTTCTTCGATCAAACATGTTGGAAGGCCTTAACAGCAACCCTCACAGAATTGTGTAGACTCCACAAGCATGGTATTCGACAAAGGTTCTTTGTTCAGCAGCTTGAATTAGAACAAATCAATATTGACATTACAACAAGCCTTGTACATGCCCAGCTTAGGTGATTCCTGGCTGCCTGCAGAGTACCACCATGTCACCTGGGTATGGCTTACCTCAACAAACATATCCACACCCGCTCTTTTCCTCACAAGCGCGCTCGAAGCCACAAATCCGACCCCACACGTTGTTCCACTTGCAGTGCTGGACGGCCATAGCTGATCTGTGTTCTCTCAGCACGAGCGCGGTCTGAGGACACCAAGTGCATGGCGTGGAGGTAGTGGGAAAGGGTAGTGGAGCCCGCAGGGGCCTCCAGCTCGGCATCCATGGCCAGGACCTGAAGATGCAGGTCTTGGATGAAAGGTGAAAAGTGTCACAGGTTGACGGTTGCAAGTAGATGAACGGCCCCAGTGAAGAGGAACATCAATGAACATCATAGGATCCCGAATGACCCGTTCAAGATGTCAAATGGGATTTCTCCACGCTGTTGGGTCTTCCGCACCGAGTTCCAGTGGCAAGGTCCCTCACCGACTCGAGTGGTTCGGACCTTTTCGTCGAAACCGACCCCGTTCGCTCGACGAAACTCGGTCCTCTCCGCCGCGCGGCGTGCCTTGCGGTGCACTTCCTCGAGGTCTCGAAAGCTCAGGGAAGAGGCGCAGTCCCAAGCGATGAGAAGGCGATCCCAGAGTCTCAGGTGTTGCGCCTTTCCTGCAAAGCAAGGTCAGGCAAAGAATAACATCACTCAGCTGTCGCAGCTATTTCTATACACACTCCACCCACACACATCTTCTTGATTCTTCTTGGTCTTGTGAAGGGCTGTGCTTCGGACTTTTGCGGAGCTACGAAAACTGGCGCAACACGAAGAGCATAACTCCCCACGGCAAACGTTGAGCATAACAAGTGGGTCCAGTGGTCCGGAAGAAGAAAACAAGAAGGTCCTTCGTTCACCGCTGCAAGATGGTCTCCCCAAACATGTGTCTTTGGGGGTCACATGTGTCTTAGAGCCTTAGAGCTCTTCCAGCGCCTTGTACTTCGAGTGACAAATACCACTCAACTGTATACAGTGAGAAAACCGGTGGTCGGAGTCGGCAGGCATCCTTGGACCACATGGCCTCCTTGGGCCTAGGGCCCCCTTTTTCTCCGATCATCGATAGACACAACAAATAGATAAACAGCTACCAGGAGCCCGAACCAAACCATGAAAAACACAGGTGTTCACACACCCCAAACCATGTTTTTTGCAAGGAAACAGGTTTTTGATGGTTTGTGAGGCCTCTGGTATCGAGACTCAAAGCACCTGAACAAAACAAAAACAAAGCAAGGAAGAACTTCTCAGCACATCCAAGCAAGCCTGCCCAGAACTGCCGGCACTGTCGAAAGTTCCTTAGGTTTTTAGGTGTCCACACAGTATGTGTGTGACGCCCGGACGGAAGATGGAAACCTGGGCAGTTCATTGCACCAAGCGAAAGCAACGACCAAGGCACTGGGTCTGGGGTCTGCATGGTCAGGTATAACAACTCCCATCTTGAGACACACTCTCAAAGTGATTACACAATTGGGGCCTGGATATAGTACATAGGTGCCTGGATTTACGGGTTTGGATCTTTTCCTTTCAGAAGGCCTCTCGCCTCTTTCCATGCGCTGGCTACGTGTTTTTCGGTACCAGGTCGTCCCTGGCTCTCCACTCTGCCACGGTGCGGGAGATCGAAATGCACGGTCTCGGCCACGCGGCTCAGAATGGCCTGGGTCGAAAGCATCGGAACCGGGATCGGTCGGGCTATACCTGGAGCTTCAAGGCGTGTCCAATGAAGATCCCGGAGAGTCGTGCAGGGGCTTCCAGCCAGCTGACCCCTGCTGGATGGTGCTGGAAGGTGCTGGTATATATATATATATACATATATATCTTGTTTTAACATGCAGGAGTCCTGTTCAATTTTCTTGGACGCTCCGGAAGGTTTAGGCAGCAGGTAAAGTAACACCACAATCTATCACAATCTCAGGAATTGAAAGCTTCGCTTCGCCAATGGGTGCTCCAAATCCCAAGCCTCTTGGGCAAAAAACATCCAAACTTATTTTATCTTAATCTTGATCTATAGTGGATATCTATATATATAGATCATTACAGTGGGATTTAGAGAGGATGCTAAATCCAAAACCATAGAAGTATAGCTATGCACAGCCCCTTTTTTCGCACCCAAAGATTTCTTGAGTGGTCACGACTATCTCCGATCACTTGCGATGCTCATGAGAACTCGCCTCATCCATGCTGCTCTCCAGATTCGTTGCCATAATCAGTATCACAGACGCGGCTCCAGATGCTTTTGTCTCCTAGGAAGGTGGAGACAAGACTTCTACATGTGTGACGTGCTGAATTGGTATATGTACACAAACATGTCACAGGATCTTGACCAATATGTTCCACATGCAAGAAATCCTACCCCACCTTGCATGGAAAACGTGGTTGGCTTTTGGCAGGCCGTCTGGGTGTCACAAAATGGTGCAGGAAGTCTCTATATAAACAGTTCTGGAAATAACACTCATGTCATGGTCGCATGGTCAAGATCCAGTGACATGTCAAGAACAATGATGCTCGATCAGACCCTGTCTGTGACATGTCGGTCATCATTACTGTATAATAACCTTCGTTCAAGGAAGCTTCTTGTTACTAGTAGTAATGCCCTTGTTACTAGTAGCGATGCACGTTTTACGTTCGTAGCTTCTTGCTACTACTAGTAATGTCACTCAAGACTCTCACCCCCAAACCTCGATCACCCCATTGGACACACTCTTTGCTCCAGCCGCCTAGCCAGCAGCCACACTGCTCATGCAATGAAGGTGGTCCTGAAATCCTAACATCGTCCCCTTTTTGTGGTGGTGAAAGCGGGGTTGGTCAGTCCCAGAATCTGTAGCTGTGCCTGATCAAAAGCTGCAACATGCTGCAACTGTACACCTTCCGTCCAGAAGAGCACATACACAAGCCCCTTCAAGTCCACTCTCCCCATGTGAGAATGCTGAAGCAAACCACAGAAAGCCGAACCGATCTCAATGATCTGATGGACTCCGGAAGTCAACTGAGGATCTAAACCATCCACCCACGTCAGAAATTCCGTCACAATCTGCTTCTTTTGCGTCACCTCACTGTGCACCGTGGCACAGGGGTGATGCGGCGCTGAGGATTGCGATCCTTCCTGTCACAGGTGGGAATTTTCTCCCTACTCATAGGTTCTGTTGTGGGTAAACCAAGGTTTGAAGAGCTTTGCCCATAGCACCTTTTTGGATGGCAAACCCTGTGGATGTACTTTTGTTTTTTGGCGCGAGCCCAACTCTGGAGCCTGGTTGCAGCCTGTTTTGACCACTGCCGAATGAATGGCCGTGGCTGGACTTGAGACGAACATCGCGCTATTTGAGATGAGACAAGAGCACCGAGACAAGTGCTCACTCTCTGTGAGATCGACTCTGCTATAGTATTATAGCGAGAGTCACTACTGTACATAGATACAAGAAAATCATAGACAAATAGAAGATACTTTGCAAACAAATATAGATGTACAGTAAATAGATACGTTTTTGCAACAAAAAAGCCATTAATTTTGCTCGTAGGCAGTCCAAGACCTTTGTTTGGGAACCCCACGAAGGCTGTCTGGAAACCTGCCCATTCTCCAAAAAGATAAAGCTGTGTTTAGTGGTGGGAAAAAGAGATACATCAAACTATCAGTTCTTTCTTATACACTATATATAAAGTATAATGTATATAGTCGTCATTATACCAATCCCAGGTTTTCGTGGGGATTCTCCATCTCTCTCCACAGCTCCCTCCGCCCCCTCCGATCCCTCCGTTGTTTGTGTTCATCGCCCAGGCGACGAGGACACTGTGGTAGTCTTGCATACTCGCTCGGCTCCCGAAGAGCACCTCCGCCTCGTCCACAAAGACCGCCACGCTGCGTCCGGACCGTGCGCTTTGGTCTTGGAGCCGTTGCAGGGCACGGCGGAAGGCATCTGGCGCGTCGTAGTCGATCCTGGGAAGTGAGGCCATCCACTTGTCGGAGAAAGATCATAAAGTCGGTAAAATGACGCATGACAGGAATCCAGAGCACCAAACAAGGCTGTTCTTGATCGGAAAAGGCCAGATGGTGAATGGTTGATGGTGCAAAATAGGAATCATAAAGTAAGTAAAAAGTAAGTAAAGCTCTAACAGTATAATATATAGCTTTGATGAGGACCGATTTGGGATGAATCCAAATGAATCCCAACCGTCTCCCGAGTTGATCTTTGCGGAATCTATGAATGGGGGTTCAAGAACTGACTCACATGCCCTTTGATTTATCCTCCAGGATTGGCTTCTGAATAAACAAGTGACAAGTGCCACCAGTAGCAAGCTCAAGGGAGCTGAAAGATGCACAAAATACTGCTACTAGCTTGTGACAAGGCCTGGAGCTCATAAATCATCACAAATACCCACTGCAAGTAGATGACATCTAGATGACTGCCATGACTGGAAAAGCCATTGATAATAAATCAAGGAATTAACGGGTCTTGGTTCGCTTGCCCTCACCAGAACCACCCAAGAAGCAAGGTCGACGACTGATTTGATGGATACTGACATCTGATACAAGAAAAGCAACAAAAACACCCCCAAGCAATAAACTCTACCTTGAGGTGCCTGAAATCCAACCCGACGCCCATCACCAACCCGCTGGAAACGTTCATTCTGGTAGGAGTCTTTTTGAGCTTCAACTGGTAGGCATCAAGGCCACACTCAGCGGCAATGATTTTCATCCCGAAAGTCTTGCCGGTGCCTGCGGAGCGCGACGCATTCATTCAAGTCTTGGGTAGAGTGGTTTCAAAGTAGCCGGCACAACACCTTGGAAGATTCCTAGATGGTGTTGACAGTTTTATCATCCATACTCAGGACATTCGATCCTGACTGTATCAGTATCCACGGACAAAAGGCGATGCCATGGACCTTGGAAAAGGACTTGGACCCTTGATGTTCCACTTGTGCTTGAATAAACAGAGTTGGGAAATTCTTCCCACTGGACCATGCATAGTAAAGAAAATCCCAAAGCAAAGGAACAAACAATGGGAATACACCCAATGACCTTGACTTCACATCGAGTGGTTTCAACACCGGTCACTACAGAAAGACCCCTATACCCGACAAATTAGATGGAACATCAAGTCAAACTAAATAAAACTTCACCCAGTCCAGCCAGCGCCACTCGGTCACTCCGTGTCCTCTGTCCTGGCGGCCCACAGAAGAGGTAGAGCTTCTTCTCTTGATTTGGTAGCTCCTGGGTTGGAGGACATGGCTACAGTAGTAGGTTGGAGGCCATGGCTCTTACTTTTCTTTAAATGTCTTTTTCTTAACACCGGCCTGTTTTTTGGTAGCACACGGATTCGCCGGGAAGAAGTGCCCGAAGGACGAGCCCGACAGGTGATTAAATCGAATAAACACTAACTACGTAGCTGCTGACAAGGCTGACACGGTTTCTTTTCTGGAGAACAAAAAACTGCGGAGTTCAGCAGGGTGAGCTGCTCATTGCACATCTTCAAACCCTAGCAAACACACTCCAACACCATCCAAAACCAGGTTTTCACCGGTGTTCCCTGGAGACACGGTCAGTTGTCATATCTCTATTCTCGCTCCTTTCCAGTCATCGCCAGCGAGGAGGCACGCAGTTTGGCCAGGTAGGCCTCATCAGTCGCTCTTGCGATGTTCATCAAGGCGTGCTTGATGCCACGAGAGGCGAAATAGTTCCTCAGCAAGGCATGATGCCAATGGCGGCTGGGCGACCTGATGTCGTCCTTGGTCGCGTCCGAAAGCGCTGTTCGGCTGGGCTGAAGCCCACACCAACAATACGGGAGACAGATACACTAGGTCCGACCCCCATGGATGCGACATATGGGCGGAAAAGTGTCAGTTTCGGGTCATTTTGAGCAATACCTCGCACCTGGCCAAATCCAAATGCGCCGGCAAAACTCCAGCATCATGTAAAACAACACCTGAGAAGCTGCAAAACGAAAGCCAGCGCTTCCCTTTCTCGACAATGAGCTCGCGCAGCTGCTTGCGGCCGCGTGTCAAATCTGCTTCATGTCTTGTTCTGCCCACACAGAGGTAACCATGTCAAAACAAAAACCTGCGCTTCCTGGCAATTGAGGGATTCGGTGTCATTTTGCCCGGAAATTTCCTCTGCACAGGGGGGGGTTTGGATGGAATCCGATGTTTTAGGCCGTAGCCAAATCTATCCACATTGACATCATTTGGTGTCTGGACATGGAATGGGAGGTCTCACTGTGGGAAGTGCAGCATGGCCACATGAACGGGACTTGCTTTACAGGTTGACACTGGATCTGATCCACTAAGGTTGAGCATGACCCTACCTATGGTCTGGTTTTCACCAACTATTGCTGGGTGCTCGATAATTGACATCTCCGGTTCATCATTGCACCCACAAGTGTGATAGACCTTCAGAAATGGCCAGTGAGCAATGGAGATACCAAAAAGTCCAAGGGGTACACTGTGTACACCGATTGAACTAATCATAGAAGTGGAAAACCACCTGTTGGGG